GTAGTAGTAGTAGTAGTAGTAGTAGTAGTAGTAGTAGTAGTAGTAGTAGTAGTAGTAGTAGTAGTAGTAGTAGTAGTAGTAGTAGTAGTAGTAGTGGTGGTGATGGTGGGGGTGATGAGGATGATGGAGATGGTAGCTGAGACGGAAGATTGAGAAGCAAAAGATGCAGTCCTCTTACTGTGGGCACATCACCTGATACCCTGCCTTTTGTGGCCTCTACCTCCAGTCTCATATTCTTTGTTATTTCTTTTTTCTTTTCTTTTCTTTCTTTTTTTTTCTTTTTTCTCTTCATTCTTTAGCTCTTAGGTTACGGTTATATCTATCCCTTCAAGTGCCTTGATTGGATTTACGCCCGGCTCTTTACTATGTAGATCTATAACGGACCACTTAAGTTCAACTGCCAGTTCTTCCGACGGTTTGCCAGCCATGGTGCTGCCGATGAAGTCAACTCAATTTAATTCATATTCTTATATCCGATCGAGCCGGCTTAGTTAGATGCTAGCTATGTAGGTGCTTCACTGTTTGAAGCAAAGAATACGGCTCTGAACGCCTTTAAATCCTTTAAACTTGCAGTAAACACTCGTAGAGACACGTAGAACACAAAAAGCATAGCTTGTCGCGACGTAGGAAAGTTGTCTCTGTAGCTGGATATGATTAATTAATGAAAGTAAAGGCGTGGCTAGACTAAGCAGATGTAAGTGAGTGTATGCAGCCTGCTAGCTGCCTGTGAGAGTATTAAATTTCTTGTTCTTTGTCTATTATTATGCTCCTAACATGCCCAGTTTTTTGCTCATGAAGTCTTGGTCTCTGAAAATAAATAGCCTTGATGTTCGCGTTGTCATCAGTCAACAGTTTCTCATCGGGCTCGATCTCTGTCTTGTACTCTTTGTCGTGAGCAGCAAGTTGGTCGACCAACTCCTTCCGTGAGGAAGTCCACTCTTCTTTTTTCTTGTTATATTCTTCGCGGTATTCGTCCTCCAGCAACTGCAATCTGTGAAGTTCATCACGCAGTTCTTTTTTCCGTAGCTTCTGAGCTGGTGTAAGGAGTCTCGTTACCGGCAGCATGCCGGCAGGCACAACAACACCTGCATCATCTAGTGCATTTATGATCTATAAACTTAGTTAGTATCACTGATCGCAGACTCAGTGACGTTTGTTAGAAGAGAGATTGCTGGATTAAGGTCACTGACCTTATCCTGCTTCCTCTTGAAGTAGTCATTGATGCTGGATTGGTTCTTAACCCTCTTTGGCATTTTGGGCTTTGCGAGAGGAGTGCATTTTGAAAGTTGAGTTGTCAGACTTACCCACTTAACAAAGTTAAAAGAACTATCGCGGTTGCGATCTGTAATTATTATCTGTGTACAGTTAAGACGTCAGAAGGGAAGTAAATTTGCACTAAAGAGATTTCCTAAGGGTTGAATGACTGGAACTTGGACTTCATATGGTACAGTACATGAAAAATGGCTAAAATATATGCATCACATACACAGAAACACCGGATAGTAGTTTTCGTACATTAAGTACTAGAAGGAACTTACCTTGAATCTCAAATCCTCGAAAGAGGCCTTTCCCTAATTAAATAATTAGGGGGATCAACCTAATAGGATCATCGAAATTTGAAAGAGTTTTTCTTGCTTAGTGCCATATTTGGCCACTGTAAATCGTAAGGCTATGTACTCTTCGATTTGTCAGTGAAAAAGTGTGCTTACTGCTCGATTTTATCAAGAATCTTTTTTCTAATTCCGTTTAACATTTCGTTTCCTTTCTAAGGGTATAGTCAGCCCAAAATGCTGGGCTTAACAGCATAAAGCAGGGCAAATCTATGTACTTATATGGCGTTAGCTAATGGTATGTCATTCATATTTAGGTTGTGCACGCATCACGTGTGCTCGATTGATGGACTCGAACAGCATTATGCCAAACAGAATAGGAAAAGGAGGGGGAAAAAGAACAAAGAAACCGATCAGACAATCACTCCCGCTAAGATTGGAGGTCGAAGAAGACAATTAAACTGCCTGCGTAAGACGCTTACCTGTTTGAATATTGCTATCTGCCAATATATAGTTGGTGCCCGTAGGCTCAGTCTTTAGACTAAGCCCTCAATCAATATTAGGGCAAGGCTCGCTATATGCTATTTATTGTATGTACATAAATTTTTGTGGATCTTGATTTTAATTTTCATTTGTTCTTCTTAGTTCTTGATTGAAAGAGACAAGATTGAAATATAGAAGAGGGCCAGAGATGAGAAGAAGAAAGAGATCGAAGTCAGAAATGAGAGAGATATTTATACCTGGAGGACGAGGGAAAAAGGATGCGATGGTTATAGCCAGCTAGTGAAGGATGACTATATAGATAAGGAATATTGATGTAGAATGTCTGAGCGGCTTCAATGAGAGCATGGCATTGTGAATAGTCTAGGGAAGCTGGGATCAGGGCTTAATGAATACGTCAGTCTCTTCTGTGAGATTGGTGAAGAAGGGAATGGAGCCAGCTTCGATTGAATATGAGCATTGAAGGTAAGGGAGGCAGAATGAACTGGTCAATGGATCCATGTATGCGAAAGGATTATTGAATGAAGCACGAATCTTTGCAGACGGGGATGCGATGGCCTCCTACAGCCGAGAGATATTGCGGTTATTGCTCTGATCGAGTGGTTTGATAGGGTTTAATAAGAGAGTCTCGGGAAACGGAACCTTCTCAGAATCCTTTTGATATAGATAATTGAATTAATCAATTCTTTACGCCTGCGTATGAAGGTCTCAACACTGGACCTCTATTGGGAAAGAGACCCAGTATTTGCTTCTTAAAAAAGCGAGAAGACGACCACACTATAGCTATCAATCAAAGGCCAACCCCAAGGGTCAGCGATAAACACATCCTCTGGTAAGCATCAAAGTAATTGGAGTCCTCCCATCATGATCTGGATTACGCTTTAAGTAATAGTGACTAACCATGCGGTAGGACAATAGCTATGGAAATTCGCTCTCTCTCTCTTGTTTGTCTTTTGTTTTACTTGATAAAGTCACACATACCTAAAAGGCACTTAAAAATCGCGAGAAAGTGTATATCTTAGTGTGGTAATTGCCCCAAGGACCATCATCGTTGTGAGATCCGTTCTGTCTGGGCATACTGCATCCGAAAGGTCAAAAACAAAAGCCCAGCTGAAAATACGCATTCTTTCCACCAAAGATGCACTAGCAAGCCCCCTTATCAGTTTGTAGGAATTGTGCCTATCAACACGAGGTCCCCAGGAAACATTAAACCAGACGCTGAGATGAACTTCTCACCCGGAGCCAGAATATTTTGAGTCGCAAAGAAGTTGAGCTCTTCCAAGGGAATACTAAATTTTGGAAGGGAAGCTTGAGGCGTGATCTCAGCACCAGGGTGGGCTGGCTCAGTCCACGTTTCCGGCTGATCACTACCGGTCAGACAAAGATCGAAATTAATACTGTAGTTTTTCACCCATGCAAATCTCCTCTTGCTCTGTGCAAATGTTAGAAACAGTAGGGTTATAGAAAGCTATTATAAAGGAATATACATACTCCTTCGACCTTAGCTAAAACCGTCAGGCCAGTTGGGATCTCATTGGCCCAGTATTGTGTACGGGCAGAGAAGTCCCAGTCCCATTTATATTTTGGTTCTGTATAAGGTGGCTCATCTGAAAGTGTAAGGCGCAGGGGATGCTCATTCCAGTCAATATCACACCGTTCGATATAGAAATGGATTGGAGGGATATAGTAGCTCTTCGCAGGCACGATAACTGATTTCGCGTACTTCACATCCATGACCGCACCAGGGGTCGAATCGCTTATAGATTTGGTCTTGTCGACCACATCTATGGCAGAGGACTGTTTTCCAACTTGATTCAAGAGAAACTTCCTGGAAAAAAGCTCGCGAGAGATGATAATACATGCTGTGTAGTCCTGGGGTATAGAACTAAAGTTGAAACCACTGTACCGACGTCCAAACTGGGTGTTTTGATCATTCCCTGGATAGGGACTCCCACCTTCGGTCTGAATGAAGATATTTAGCAGTCCTTTAGATGAGACTATCTTATACGACTTGGGACGGAGTAATTTGGACGTTGGATCAGTTTTGCTGTTGATTTTGGCCAGCCCATAGTCGATCATACCCACGTTGTCGATAGTCTTGAACCACCCTGTGATATTATTTCCGGCCTGGTTTAGCTGTTCCTCGACAGATGGATCTATTCCTGGGTGGGGCACAAAGTCCCATTGAGATTCCATGTTCTGAAAATGAAAGATCACACAATGATCGCTGTCACCCGTGTCTCCAAAGTGGATGATATTCTGGGCATTCTAGTCATGGTCCTGTCAGTCCAGCTACTCTATATAGGCGGAAAACGGGTAAGGGCTTACCTCAACATCCCCATTGGTGATATTGAACGATGTAAGTGGCACTTTCAATACTAAATCAGCCCAACCCTCAGGGATTTCCGTCGTTGATTCCTGTGGTTCTCCACCAGGGATCGTGGCTGTTGCTATCATTTCTCCGGCGAATCCCATCGTGAGTTTGACTTTTGGTCCTCCATCGTTCATAGAATCGAAGCTCAGCCGGGGTGAGGTCAAGCTCAGATTAAAGGTATGCTCGATCGTAATATTTCCTATAGTCTCCTTGGCGCCGGGGAATGTGCGGTTGTAGAAGAATTTCTTCTCACCCCAGATTTTGTCAAGTAGATTGTTTAGCTCATTTTCAGAGTAAGACACGAGAATATCCCAGTCGTCAGTGGTTTCCTTACCACTAAGTGCTTGGTAGTAGTCTGCTTTGGACTTTTGGGGGAGAGCCATTATGACGCTTCCAAAGATATGGATAATGTGGCGACGATGGCAACCCCAAAGCCGTGTCTGAATGTTTAAAGAGTGTGTTTGAGTGAGGAGCAACGAGAATGCTCTAATATAGGTTGAAATTAGGGGAGCAAATGACCGTACATTAGTGATACGGTCGCAAGGTACATTGACCAGTGACTTTCAATCCCAAGCTGAGCATAAGCCACCATGTCTCCTGTTATTTAGCAAATCATGGGGTACTAAGTCCAATGACTATTGGCTATGTTGCAACCATTCTGCAGCAATACTCACATAATATGAATGCACAATAATCCCGCAACCCCACAGCTAGGCTCGCCAAGTGCTCTGGAATGCAGTTTTTACGAAAACAACACAGAGATAAAGAAAGGGGGGAAGGTGAAAAATCAAACAGCTGGCTTAGCTGCCTGATCCCTTTCAACAATATGAGGGGGTACGTGAGTCCATATGTCCAGTGATTATTGGCTGTAAATGTTCGCATGCTACAACAATCACATTCCGTTATGCACAATAATCCCGCAGTCCCACTATTCAGCGCATAGATGCAATGCGCTGGAGATTTTGGCAACGTGAAACATGTATCCAAGGAGCAATTAAAACCTACGACTTTTCGGGCTGCCCAACACTGTGTCACAGGAAGAGGGGTACATGACGCACGATGATGCTTTTGATGTTGGGTGCATAACGCGCTGAGAGCTGAGAAGTAATCCCTTGCCTCCTCGTGAGAGTAACAACACGGAGACGCCGATATGGCAATTGCGGGAGGACTAACAGATTTATTAGTTACGTACTGGGAGATAGAATATAGCGTACGGCATCTTTCAGAAAGCAATCAAAATAACACATTGTTTCGTTACTTTTTGCACTTCAAGTGAACAAAAATGCCTGCAGATCCCCTCCCAGACCCCGATACAGTCCAATACCCTTTAGTTGATTCTCAACTTCTCTTATCTGTTTCAGAGGATTCTCATAGTCCCGAGACGAGTATCAAAACTCCATATGCTTTCTACGTGGAGCAGTTCAGTCTCTCCGGTGACCTGAAGACTGAGAACGAAGACGACCCGCCAAGAAATCGTTTCTGTATCTTCACCAGTGAGCTGTCTGGCGCAGAAGTAATACCAAGTGCCTGTAACGTAGACATTTCTGGGAAGGCAGGCGATGAGGATCACCCAGACGGCTACGATGGAGGGGATCTTCAGATCTACGCGGAGCACATTGATCCTCCTGCTGTAGAGAAGCTTTTACTCTACAGTAAGTGGTAGTTACCCTTGAATTTCTTGAATAAGTACAGCAAAGTAGCTAACATATGATGTACAGGTGATGGGGGTGCCGGGCTCAACCGGGGTCCGGTGACTGACCAGGAGGTTGGCCCTGCTGGTGGAAACGGGGGGAATGGAGGGAAGATCACCGTCATCGTGAGCAGCATATTTCAAGAGGTTTTCGAGGTCTCCGTTCAACTATACGAGAAGCTGCAGGACAAGAAACTAGTTTGGCCCCGAGATCTGCAGAGCGATGCGGCCCTCCTTGTATCGCTCGTCAATCAGAAGGAGATCGAACAGGCAGTGAAACTTCCTGATTCAGTGAAGACAAAGGAATCCATGCTCAAAACCTCAAGGGATATGATGCAGACTGATATTTTCAAACTATTCATCAACCTGCAAGCGGCCCGCGACAATCAGACGGGTAACATTCAGCAACATATGTCTGTGCATGGTGGCTCATACGGCACCGGAGGCATGGGGACGAAATCGCGTGGGCCGTCTGGCGCCCCTGGGAAGGTCGAAGTACTCCCAAGGGTGTATCGTCTGGATGAAAAAGACAAAGTTCTCAATGGTGATGTGTGTTTTGCACATCCTACACAATGCCGAATGCTACTTGACATGGGAAACCTTCTCTGGTTTTGTGGGTCGGAAGAGGACAAGGCTAGAGCCTCTATTATTTTTAATCGGCTTGCAAGAAGACTAGCATTCTTGGGCGTGTCCGAGGAGGAAGCAAACATCTCTCAAACAAAGCTTGCACAGGCATACAGAGATGCCGAGCCTTCTCTGTATATACTCAGCAATGGAGAAACCACGCAAGAGCCTATATCTTTCAATCTCCTCCGTGGAATCAAGAATGAAGCCGAAGCCAACCAGATCAGTCTGCTATCTGGAAACAACACCTATGGTGAAAGCCAGGAAGACGTTCCTAGAGGCTCATTCAAGTTCTACGAAGGCGCAACCCGCCCCATGATAGAAACGCTGGAGAAAGCCGAGAATACTTACCTCACCTTTCTACGAGGGGAGATGGATGCCCAGCAAAAGAAGGAGGCCATTCGGGACCGACAGAGAGATTGCACATTCCGCAAAAGCCTAGTCGACGATCAAATCAAGGAAGAGAGAAACGACCTCACTGATAATTTTGACAGAATACAGGTTTCTAACCAGTCTATCAAACCGGCAAAGGAAAGTCTCTTGAGAGAGTTTAAGATGGTGGAAGATAAAATCAATCTTCCTACCAGTGTCTCGTTTGAGGACCTGATGTCTGCTCTTTCCCAGATCATCTCTGTGAACGGATCTGCACCCATGGTCATTCTCCAAGGGGCAAATCTTGCAAATAAATCGCTAACGAAGCTCGAGTCAGACAGTGGCGTCAAGGTTGACCGAAGCCATCTGTTGAGGGAAGTCAAGGACATGAGTGGAACTATCGACGGACTTGGCGAAGGGTTCAAGATTCTTAAGGATGGTGGTGTCGACTTTGATGATCCAGGGGCAACCAAGCTATGTGTCATTGCAGCAGAGATGGAAGAGCTTCTGGGTGAATTCCACAACGTTCTTGGGGATGATACGGTAAATGAAGTCAAGAAAAGATTTGACGATTACATTGGTGAGTCTGAATTATCCGTTGATGGAACCATTCTGATTAGTCTTCTTAGAAATTGTTCAACAACGCAATTCAGCGGTAATGGGATATACAAAAGCCGTGACCTTGCTGATCAAATGCCAAACCGAACTCGACTCGCTCACCGCTGAGCAGAGCGACATCAGTCGCAAGCAGTATGACGAATTAGGTGCGGATCATCCAACAATGACAGCATTTATGAAGAAGTTATACACCGACAGTATACATACAACCCAAAACTGGCTGCACAAGATGCAATTGGCATATCAGTTCATTGCCCTCGACAAGGAAAACTACATCGGTAAGGCAATGGAGGGCTTTAAATTTTCTCAATTCAATGCCTCAACACTGGAAAATGTGTACAGCAAACTGTCCACTCAATACAGTTTGTATAAGGAAACTATGGGACAAAATCCCCAGACGTACAAGGAGCTGCCCTACAATATCCCCGATCGCTATGTCCAGTCTATCAAAATGGGAGGAAGAGATGGTGTTGCTCGTACAATTCCAATCCCAGTTCTTCCACCCATAGGGACTCCCAACCCTTTTGATGGTATGATCGACATTCGTCTACTCAAGGTCCGTGTGTTTCTGTTAGGTGCAAAGACCCACAAGGGGTATCTCGATATCACAATCAAACACCAGGGAACGGAGACAATCTTGAACAGGGATCACATTAAATTCGAATTCCAGCATGCCCCTCTGTTTGTCAGGTTCAAGTATAACATGAAGAATCCTCATTATCCGGACCACGATACTGTAGATGGGGATATCGGCTCGGCAACTGACGAGACGTATTCCAAGGTTGGTCCGTTCACCAACTGGACCATCCAAATTCTACCAGAACATAATCCGGGGCTGGATCTTTCGGAAGTCACTGCTGCTAGGTTTGAGTTTTGCTTCAATTTCTATGCAACAGCTTAGGTACAACTCCGCACCACAGATATTGTATCTAGTAGTACGATCATAAAAATGTGCATTTCAGATCCGGTCCACATGATATGAAGATCTATTTCATACCACAAAGAGCGGATTAGCACAAAAGCCTTGTTTGATAGTATTTCCCGTATCACCTGTCGGTGTGGAAAGCGGTTGAGGGCTATATAAAGAAACTACCTAACTGGAAATGTTATCCCGGTCCTGCTGAAATCGAGGAGCGTCTCTTCCAGCTGTTGAATTTCCAAACCCTGGATGTGTGCTGTCTGATTCCCAGCATCGACATTGTCCTTTCACATGAAGTTCGCTGTATCACCTTTGCCTATGTAGAGAAGGTTATTATCGGCAGCTCAACATATGGCTGACTATCTCTGGATATCAAGCTCGACGGGATCAACAACTTCCTGGTAAAAGGCTGGTAAGATATCGAAGTGAACAGCAATACTAGCGCGAACGTATTAGATACCATAGGGACGAGTATAGTCACCTGACAGCTGTCCTTTATGTACAATACCCCGTCACTACCTCATTTCAACATTTCCGCTGCCATCTCACGGAGTTGTGAACATGGATTCTCTACCCCTGGAGCTAAAGCATTCAATCGCTGGAATAGTAAGAACACTGCGATTAGCATTCGAAACCAACTAATTCGGAACCTAGGTTCGCGATGTGTCGTGGGAAACCCTGCGGGCTTTATCACAGGTTGACCGCCAGTGGAACCAGATTACGGCACCGAGTCTCTATAAAGATCTTACTCTCCGCCTGAAGCCGGACGAACCACCTCACCGTGTGCTTCAGTTGCTAGACGCCACTCTTGTCTTGCCGCATATTAGATATCTCACCCTCGTGGATCCCACCTCCTCGAACTTAGGTAAAACCGACGTAGGGAAGTATCTCAATGAGACGCTTCCCGAGAATATCGATGTCCCTCCCATACTGCGCGGATACAAGGGGGATTGGGGCCCGGTTATCTCCCTCCTCCAACGGTTGGTGTGTTTGGAGCGGCTTCACCTTTTACTGCGCCCATCATACCCGCCGGCCATGCTAGATACCTTAGCAGAGACTCATCCAAACTGTCACGTGTCGGTGTCCTTCGCCAGCCCCGATACCTACCGAGCGGATATCACGCAAAATAAATGGATCCACTCTACCGTGGTGAAGGCCGCTTGGATCGTTTACTATGAGCATTCCAATGGCCAATTTTACACCCAGCACCCCGATCGCCTTCTGCGGAATATTCTCCGTCAAGCGCCGGGGATCAAGCGTCTGACGTTGCAGATCAGCGCCACGCCGGGACCCAGCTCCTGTCACCGGTACACCAAGTGGCTGCAGACCCAGCCGTCGGAGGACGAGGTCAATATCCATCCACGCGCGCAACTGGAAATGCTTTCATTCCCATTGATAAGCAAGATGACCGCGCAGAACCTACAGGCCTGGTCCCGGGTTACCGATCTAAGATATCTCACCGCGTGGACCGTCGGTGCCATCGAGGACATCACCCTCTTAACAACCATCGCCCAACTGCAGCCCTTCCGGGCCCTAAAGCGACTATCCCTCGCCCTGAACCCCCCAGAAACCTCTCCTACCTGGCTCTCAACAGTTAAAGCCATGTTCAACGCCCTCCCGCCCTTAACCTATCTCTGCCTGCTGGGGTCCTACCACCCAGAATGGCTCCCCACCGCTATCCTGGATCGCCACGGCCTAACGCTAACCGAGCTGCAGCTGCACAGGCCCCGACCCCGGTTCCAGAACTACGAGCCCTACCGACTCGTGCGGAAGGGGCAAATTGCTCCGATCTTCCCTGCGGACGTGATCGCCAACATGGCGGCCCACTGCCCTGTCCTACAGACGCTGCGAATCACCGTGCAACGGTACCGGGGCCACCCAACCGAGACGGCCGCTTACGATGCTCTGGGCCGTTTCCCAGCACTCCACACACTGGACCTTCACCTCAACTGCCTACCCGTCATGATCTCAGGCTATGAGACCCCATTTCCCCCACGGGAGCTCACTGCGTACGAGCGCCAGACGATCCCAGCCTGGCACGGCAGCCTTCCCAAGTGGACGGTTCGGGACACCGCGATCAACAGTGCGTTCGACGAAGCGCTAGCTACAGCGATCTTTATGCGCATTCGGGGCCAAAAAACGGGGAGATCCCTCCGAGTGCTCCGACTGCACCCTCTCTCAGGCCAGGTTGGGCAGTATCAGGGATTCCCGGGCATCACGGGCCATGAGCTGCTCGGAGGCGGCGATTACCACCGGGAGATGGGTGGCGCGTGGCAGGTCGAGTGGGATGGGGCTAACGGGATGCGGGTGGAAAACCGGTTCAAGCCGAAACGCAAACGGGGCGAGACGATGCGGAGTATGGATTTGGAGATCTTCGAGTCCATTTGGCCGTCGGATCGAGAAGAAAAGACCTGGCCTATGAAATGGCGTAGCTGGCCGTTGCAGTGAGGGTTACTGAGTTGCCACCAGAGCATCGCCGTGTTGCATCGTTTGAGGTTCGTATGAAGAAATAACGCCTATTAGCTAGAATGATTGTCTTGATTATATATCTCGCAAAATACAGTCTACCTCTCTAGTTGGTATGCTCCAGGCCTAAAACAACACATTCTTCCATATACGGCAATCCCGAGTAGAATGGCACGGGATACTGCAGATTAGCCACGTTCTTGCTTCCACTTCCCTCCGTGAACTCATCCCACTTCCAGCTCTCCATCAACTTCAGGCTGCTGAAGTACCCCCTTGCACGAAGATACCCCTCGTCAACATTCGGATCGCCGCGTCTGGCAAAGGCTGCCCACATATCCTGCACCATATTTGTGTAATAGATATCCTCCGGCGCACGGACCGGCAGATCAAATAGATAGTATGTCCCGAACACCTCATACAGATCTCCAGAGTGGCATTTGTAGTAAGGTGTGTCGGGTTTGCCGACGGGGTACGTGCACAGATCGTACCAGTCATAGTAGTTTAGGCCGTAGGCGCGCTGGTGCAGGTACACGTAGAGACTGTTGTATGCATGGGATGCTGCACCGACGGAGGCAAATTCTTTGGAGTAGCAGGTCATGCCGGCGGGTGAGTCAACGTGGATGGTTGCGTTGTAGGGAGTGGAGTAGTTTCTCCAGAGGTCAGAGGAGAGCACGGCGTCCTCTTCAGACTTTGTGATGGAGCCGCTGCTGACGAGGGTTTGGAGGGTGGTGGTGAAATTTGTTGCGTTGGGGGAGATGGTGGTTTGGAGGATGGATTGCGCCTCCTCAGGCATGAAGCCGGTAATGAAGTTGACTTTGTTGATCACGCCTTTAGCGATCTGGGTGAGTGGGTAGTCGAAGATGTAGCGGTTGTCGATGACGGTATCCCAGGTTACGTAGGAGCTGATGTTGAGGAGGGTTTCAGCCGAGAGGGCTTGCAGGCACTTGAGGCGCTGGGTTCCCGTAGTGTTATTGCAAAGGGGCTGAATGTAAGGGAGAATAGCGGCAGCTGAAGCGTTGGACGTCTCGACGTGGCCGGCGATGGACTGAGCGATGGCGTTTTGGAAAAGGCCGTTGGCCTTGGGTGTAGTGAGGAGATCAATGACGGACGAAGCACCAGCGGATTGACCGAAGATAGTCACGTTGTTGGGGTCTCCGCCAAAGGCTCGGATGTATTTCTGGACCCATTTGAGCGCCTCAATCTTGTCAGTGAGTTGAGCGTTCCCGGGAATGGTAGAGTCATCGAGGCTCAGGTAGCCGAAGATGTTGACCCGGTAGTTTATGGTGACTAGAACGACGTCGTTGCGGCTAACGAAACTGTCGCCGTCGAAGGTGGAGTCGGCACCGGTTCCTGAAGTCTCGCCACCTCCGTGGATCCAGAGCATGACTGGTCTGTAGGAATTCGTTTCATTTTTGGCCGATGGAAGAGAAGGGGTGTAGACGTTCAAATGCAAGCAGTCCTCGCTATTTCCCCAGGGGTTGAGGCCGTAGCTGTTTCCGTCATACCAGCCAGATTGGATACATGCAGGGCCGTATCTAGTGGCGTTGACGTAAGAGCTCTCAGCCCATTCTTGGGCATATTTGAAGCGAAGTTCTCCCACGGGGGGCTGGGCGAAGGGGATTCCCATGAAGCGGAATGCCATGTGGTCGCGCAGACCCTCGAAAGTGACGCCATTGGTGCTAGCATTGGCTCTTGGGAAGTGTGAATAATCGGTATCCACTTGCTTGACGAACTCGGCGGAATTGGAGCATAGGAAGGGAAGACCAGCAGGCGAGGAGGTATTGGCTAGTTCGCCATTCCAAGATGTCGGACGGTCTGAGCTGCAAGAAGACCAGAAGAGCTGGTCTGAGCCAATGTTCTTCAAATAATGTTGGTATGTGAATGAATAATGGAAATCGGGATAGTCTTTGCAGCTAAGAAGTGATTCATTGTACTGCGCACAGGTTTCCTGCGCATCTTGGTAGGTCAAGGCATTGTTGACGAAGAGGGCGCTGGGCTTTTCAGCATGTGTTGTCCAGTTGCCGTCATTCTGGAAGAGTACCGTGAGACTGGCATCTGCTGGTACACAGCTATACAGCAAGCTCAGGGTGGCGATGAACGTACGGCCCCTCATTGTGCCAGTGAAGATGGGTTGCTACGCCGACAGAGACCATGGCTCCCCAGGTATTTATGCGAAACCAAAATTGCCAGTTTTGCGATCGTAGTGGAGGATAAAGTCTGTTCCGCACGCGGTCAAAACTGGAGGAGATGTGGGGAAGTTGAGGAGGAAATTAGGCTATTCGTATCTCCGCCATTCGGAGAAGCCATCCCGAATGCTGGAATCCCGGAGAGAAACCTCTTCACGGCATGGCCCCAATGCTTGACCGACACAGTCCCTGTGCAACTGCGGCTCCCATTACCTGTTAACTGCCGATCATGCCATCATAGTCTCTGTGAGTCTCTCCTGCCCGCTTTTCCAGGGCGTATTAGCTCCCCCAGTGAGCCGTAGCGTGTTGGACCTCCCACAGCTGCGTCAT